AATGGGCTATTTTTGTTGTGCCCACTACGGACCACGGGCATATAAACTCGGTTTTGAGCGTTATAAGCTGAGCCACTGGAGTTTTTTTCGTGTAACAGTTGTGAAACAGTTTAAATTACAACAACACACGTTTTTACCACTTGCTAAATAATCTGATGTTTATTGAATCGCATTTTAAAATCATAGGCAAATAAAATTTGTTATCTGGTTATAAAATAAAATAAAACGCGTCTAATTTGTCTCGAATGTACTCGAAAGAAAAATGTTACTTCTTCGTAATTCCTGCGACTACTCAATGATAGGTTATATCAAGAAAAATCATCAGGGGGTGATGGAACGGCGGGGGCATTGTACCGTGTGATCTGTCTTTATTATATGATTTTTCAAATTTTACTTAAAGGAACAGTGTATAATGACAAACCATACATATTATACGCACATTGAGGTACAGAGAAAATAGATTAATTTAATACTTTTGCTGTTTCTAACCGGGACAAAAAAAAGGCTTAAATTTGGGATCTCTGGTGACCCTAATTAGGTTTTTATTTATACTTATACTAGTGTTTGTAATTAAGCACAAAGCTACACAATGGGATATCTGTGCTGTTCCCACCACGGGTATCGAAACCTGATTGTTAGTGTTATAAACCAACAGACTTACGGCTGAGTCACTGTGGTCTCTAATTAGGGGGAAATTTCTTCACTGTTGAGCTTCCACAAACTGTGAAGAAGTTAAAGTGACTGTATAACAATAACTGATACTAACGTCCTTGCTACTTGAACTGCACCTTTAACACACATATGAGCTAAGTGACCAGGTTCGAAACTCCTAGGGTTCCAGGAATAGTTGTTCCTAATTCCGAACTTCTGACCAAGCGGATAGTAGTCAATTATCAGCATCGTTCCTAATTCCGAACTACTGACCAAGTGGATAGTAGCCAATTATCAGCATCGTTCCTAATTCCGAACTACTGACCAAGTGGATAGTAGCCAATTATCAGCATCGTTCCTAATTTCGAACTTCTGACCAAGCGGATAGTAGCCAATTATCAGCATCGTTCCTAATTCCGAACTACTGACCAAGTGGATAGTAGCCAATTATCAGCATCGTTCCTAATTCCGAACTACTGACCAAGTGGATTGTAGCCAATTATCAGCATCCGCTGCTACTAGGACTTTGCCCAGTTTTTGACCAGGATAATGTGATTGACTATTACTGTTATAATGCATCCTTAGCTCAGCATCATCACGTCGCCAACCTTGAACCTTTCGATATGCAGCCCTACACGCTAGTCAATTCGGCACTCTCTGTCCTTCTTTTATGTAGAAAAATTATTAATGAAGAAGCATCAAATGGTTACAGTTTTCACTAAGTATAACAAGGTTTAATGTAGAACAAGGAACATATAATATTTGCTGCATGCAACATCTTCAGTCACCCGAAGTTAACCCAAAAACTAAAGCTGGTATAATTCATTGAATTTATGTTGAAAAATAAAAACTTTTATGTCATAATTATTTTTATAACAAAATAATATATCACTAAGGAACACTTTATACAATAAATAAGTGTACGAAAGCCATTAAGAGATAAATATATCAGGTATACTTGTTTTTAAATGGAAACTTATATTAATAACATGCTGCTCTCTGGTGTGTTTACATGTATGAAGAAAATATGGAGAGTAAATCGCACTTTATAATAAGAATAATATGTTTATGTTAATAGAGTTACGTGTAGCTGCAAATTAGAACCATAGCTCCAACGATGACATGTTTAGCATTATCATATTTAAGTATTGTTGCCTATCTGCTTGTTTGCTAATTTCCGGTATAAATTCTTGCCGAGAAACTTCAGGGATACGAGTTCTTTCTTA